GCCTAGTATATAGGTCCTGGATGGCAGAAAGCTTGGCCCCAGTGATGTACTGGGCCGTACGCACTACCCTCTGTAGCGCATTACGGTCAGATGTCGAGCAGTTGCCATACCAGGCGGTGATGCAACCGGTCAGGATGCCCTCGATGGTGCAGCTGCAGAACTGATCATGCTGTTTAATCAGCTTCTTGATATGCCACACCTGTCAGGTGGATGGATTATCTTGACAAAGGAGAAATGCTCACTAACAGGGATGTAAACAAATTTGTGCACACAATTTGAGAGAAATAAGCTTTTGTGCATATGGAACATTTCTGGGATCTTTTATTTCAGCTCATGAAACATGGGACCAACACTTTGCATGTTGCGTTTATATTTTTGTTCAGTGTATATCTATTTTAAGAGAAATGCCATGGCGGCCGTGGTGCAACTTAGAAGTAACCCAAAAACCTGCAACCCGCAACCAATACATTTTCACCTGCAATATAATTTTCAAAGTAGCCCAATTTTCCGGAAAATGACTCACATGGCAACCCTGACTTTGACACAATGGAATGTACCATTTTCCCGAAACAGGGGTGATAGATTCTTCCTCTCCTGAGCATAATGCCTGTCTAAAAAACATCACATTACATAACCATATAGAGCTCACTTCATACTTTCCTCCCAAATACTATATTATTATTCCCATTTTATAGATAGTCATGAGGGTAGAAATGTATAGGTCTAAAAAGTATGGTACTGTCTATTTAATGACAAAAGCCATATCTCATTATAGGCATGTCCTGTTATTATAATGCATAATATAAATATAAATGCATAACCTAATAGAAAATAACATCTAAACTTATACTTCTGAACTGATCAGCTGGGCACTGTGTGTGTGTGCTTGAAACTTAGAATTAGGCCATCATTTCATGTTCATTTGCTTGAAACGTTCTTCTGTCCACTGTGCTGAAGTCATAGGCTACTATGTAAGAATGAGTTAATCTCTTCCCCGAGGCCGGAATTTCACAGCAGCACACAGGCTTTTGGCCTTCACATACATAGGCCCTAATTTCAGCCAAAAACAAGGGGGGATAAGGGGAGGAGGGCCCCTCCCTACCAATCACATGATACTGTGTGCTGGGATGAGAGTTTAACCCAAATCCTGCCTCTCAAGCTCCAAGCCTTTCCAATGCAGTAGAAACATGAATCTTCCCCACCCTTAGCACCCTATCTTTCATTATGAGTGCTGTTTATGTTGATATAACATGATGAGATGTGATTTGTTTTCTCCAGGGGGTGTAGACCTTTGGAACTCAGTGAACAAACCTCTAATGTACATTTGTCACCCAAAAAGCTATAGTAATTGAACCCTGGAGACGAGATGCCATAACAGCAATCAACCCTAATGATCAACACAATCAAAATTGTATTAATCCTAATCAGTGGAAATTACAGAAGTCTCTTTACTGATTATTCCACTGTTTATTTATCTGGAAGTGACAGAAAAATAAGAAAAGTGTGTCACGATCGTCGGTGAGAGATGAGGACCAAGGCGCAGCGTTGAAAGCAAACATATTTATTTTATCAAGATCACACGATCAAAACAACGAGACGTGACGTCCTTGGTTACAAAAACAAACCAACACGGAACAAGAAACCACAACACAAAGTGAAAAGACCGATTGTTAAATATGGCTCCCAATCAGAGACAACCAGCTGTCACTCGTTGCCTCTGATTGGGAGTCACTCAGCCCAACATAGAAAATCAAACATAGAATACACACCCTGGCTCAACATAACATTGTCCCCAGAGCCAGGGCGTGACAGTACCCCCCCCTAAAGGCGCGGACTCCGACCGCGCCAACTAAATCCCACAGGGGAGGGACCGGGTGGGCACTCCGCCTTGGCGGCGGATCCGGCTCCGGGCCTGATCCCCACTCCCTCTCCAACCCCCCAAAGTACCCCTGGTCCGGTCTGGCCCCGCTGGCCGGAGCCGGACTGACGATACGCACCCCTGGCTTGGTGCGTGGAGCAGGAATGGACCGGACTGGGCTGGCGACGCGCACCACAGACTTGGTGCGGAGAGCAGGAACGGGCCGGACAGGGCTGACGAAACGCACCACAGACTTGGTGCGGAGAGCAGGCACGGGCCGTGCCGGACTGATGACGCACACCACTGGCTTGGTGCGGGGAGCTTGGATGGGCCGGACTGGGCTGGCGACGCACCCCGTAGGCTTGGTGCGTGGAGCAGGGACTGGCCGGGCTGGGCTGGCGACGCACACCGTAGGCTTGGTGCGGAGAGCAGGAACGGGCCGGACAGGGCTGACGAAACGCACCACAGACTTGGTGCGGAGAGCAGGCACGGGCCGTGCCAGACTGATGACGCACACCACTGGCTTGGTGCGGGGAGCTTGGATGGGCCGGACTGGGCTGGCGACGCACCCCGTAGGCTTGGTGCGTGGAGCAGGGACTGGCCGGGCTGGGCTGGCGACGCACACCGTACACTTGGTGCGAGGGGCTGGAACAGGCCGGACCGTACTGGGGACACACACCACTGGCTCTACCTCGGGATCTGGAACGGGCCGGACCGGACTGGTAACACACCCCAGTACCTCTCGCCGTGCCTCTACATCCTCCATCCCCTCTTCGACCAGTGGCCCCCGTAACCTGGCGGCCTCCTCTGGCAACCCGCTGGGCCGCTCTATCGCGGCCTCCTGCTGGTCCGACGTCGTGAGCCCCCCCCTAAAAATTTTCTGGGGGTCTCTCCTCCCCGTGGGCCAGGCCTCCATCGTTCTCGCCAGACTCTCACCCCACTGCTCCAAAGTCCAACCTCTCTCCTCTTCTCTTGGCTTGGCCCAGTCGAGACTCCTACTCAACTGCTCCCAAGTCCATCCTCTCTCTTCTTCACGCTGCTTGGTCCTGTTATGGTGGTTTCTTCTGTCACGATCGTCGGTGAGAGATGAGGACCAAGGCGCAGCGTTGAAAGCAAACATATTTATTTTATCAAGATCACACGATCAAAACAACGAGACGTGACGTCCTTGGTTACAAAAACAAACCAACACGGAACAAGAAACCACAACACAAAGTGAAAAGACCGATTGTTAAATATGGCTCCCAATCAGAGACAACCAGCTGTCACTCGTTGCCTCTGATTGGGAGTCACTCAGCCCAACATAGAAAATCAAACATAGAATACACACCCTGGCTCAACATAACATTGTCCCCAGAGCTAGGGCGTGACAAAGTGGCATAAAGAGAGTAAAGAAAGGCAACAAAAAGAGACCAAAGCGGCAAACAGTGATTTGATTGTAATTATAGCTGCTGTCAGTCAGTTAGGAGACCCAGTTTAACCTTTGGAATAACAATGTGTGTGTCACATATTTACATCAACATGACCGCATCTCTTTGATTTGCTCTGTCAAACATTATGCAAGCAAACAGAAATAGAAGAATAGAATAGAAGACTAAATCTCAATATTTAGTATTTTATTAGGATCCCATTAGCTACTGCTAAAGCAGCAGCTCCTCTTCCTGGGGTCCACTCAAAACATAAAATATGACATAATACATAACATTAATAGACAAGTACAGCACAAGGACAGAACTACATCAATGTAAAATAAGAAAACACACTTTCATATATTTACGCCTTCATAATCATGTGATTCATAGACGCTGGTGAATGCAAGTGGAACACAAAAACGGAAATGGAAATCCAATAACAAGGACGTGCGTTGTAAATAGGCTGACACTTTTCGCTAAATTCCCATGACTTGAATAAAGCTCCCTTGTTTCTATAATTACCGCCCGTAATGGGTATCCTGGGGTAAAGTATAGACGTTTTACAGTTTAATTTTAGTCATTTAGCAGACACTCTTATCCAGAGCGACTTACAGTCAGTGCATACATTTTTCATACTGGCCTCCCGTGGGAATCGAACCCACAACCCTGGCGTTGCAAGCGCCATGCTCTACCAACTGAGCTACAGGAGGCGTTACCACCCGCAATACGAGATGCAAGTTCAATTACAGCCAAACCAGACAACCTTGCATAATTTTCCCACAATGCCATGGCAATTCAGCAAGAGTGTATAATACAGCGGAATTAAAAACGTAGGGTTACTTGTGTAACCCTGTTTCTATGACAATATGAGTGAGATACAGTACATGCATGTCTGCATTACGGGGGTAGTCTATATCCCTATAAAGTGAGGTATTGAAATGCTATATTTGAAATAGAACTTACAGTTACTTACGTAACCCGGTCCTATGATAATATGAGTGAAATATCTCACTGCTTTTCCATGCTCGCAAGAGCGCAAGGAAGAGAGGCATGACCAGAGGCAGGGCGAGTGGCGTCTTCTGAAGAGGAGAGGTGCTCACCTCATTCGCCACTCTACCTGTCTGGCTCCAACAGACGCTGTGATTGGTACTTCAGTTAAGAGAATCCGCTAGAGCAAATCCCCATTAAGTGAGATTTCGAAACGATATATTTGAACCCAGCAAGATATCCTCAATACTATTGAGGGAAAGATTTTTGTGTTGAACAATATATCTGAGTGACCCAAATGCACCAAGTATTTTGATCCTCATTTGTGTACAGTATGTGTTCTGTGTGTGTGTGTGTGTGGTGTGTGTTTGTGTGTGTGTGCATTGGTCCAGCTGTCTTACATGCAGTTTTCATTTGGTTCCAACAGAGGGAAACCTCCGACCATTTGTCCCAGGGAGCCTGGAGCGGGTTGGGAGGGCTCTCATATACTATTGCCGTGCTATCAAACACTAGTCCGGGCAATGCTGGCTACAGGCCTTGAATTCAATCTCTCATAGAGCAAACTTCAGCTTATCCTCACTTACATGCAAACTCATTTACTGTACCCCACAACAGTGTTCCTGTCTCTGTGTGTACATGTCCATGTTCCAAAAGCGTATGTTAAGCCAATGGATTCATAGCCCCTCAAATTCCCACAACCACAGACATACTATAGGATGGCAGTACTCCTGTCACACATACCTGCATCTCTGGCTGGATACGCCTCTTCTCTCGACCCATTTCACCCCGCAGCAACTGTGGGCAGAAGACAATAAGGGTGGTAAATAAGTAACAATAAAAAAATGTAGAAACTCATAATGAACCCAATCTCTTGTTCCTCAGAAAACTGTTAAAACAAATATATGAATGACAGGATTGCATGACGGCATGAAATATTGTGAAAAGGGTTACATTTTCTGAGCCAGGATATTATAGATTTCCACTACCCCTTAAGAGGTACCGTTGAACCAACTACAGTCTAGGATCAAAAATAGACATGGAGGCACTCATGTGAGTCCTGCTGCATATAACTCATAAAAGCCATCTGTGTTTTTCCTCATCACGGTGGCGCTGAGGTGTGTTAGCCTAGCATAGGATCAGGTGCCAGGGTTCCACTGACCTACTGTACATACAACATGTTTATAAATACAGGACAGATATGGTAACGGTATCTCAACCACCCGGACCATCTGGGTTCAGCCCTTCATACCCTTGGGATGGGGGACAGGGAGGGGAGGGAAGGGCAGGACGGAGGGCAGGAGATGTATGGCTAACCTGTGAAGAGCGTGACTTACCCATATGTCAGTAGCTAGCTGTGAGTACAGTACAGTTGGCCCTCGCGTGCCCAATCAAATATCAGAACCAGTACTAGGCCTCCAGTCATAAAACCAAATGTCACCCGGTGTCATATATGTGGACAGGTTATGATTTGTGAGAAGGTGTGCGTAGAATCTGTTTCTGACTGTAGTAATTATTATACTTGAGTGAATACCTCTGCATCCCTGTCTTTCTTCTGGAGGGAAGAGGAGAGGTCGTGAACTCTGACCTCTAGCTCTCCGACCCGGTGGCTCAGCGACCTCCTCTCCACAGTCAGCTTCTCTATTACTCTGAGAGAGAGAGATAGGGAGAGTGAGAGAGTTAGGGAGAGCGAGAGAGAAAGTGAGAGAGGCAGAGAAAGAGAGAGAGAGACAGCAGCAAGATCTGTGACCTGTTGCCACAAGAAAAGGGCAACCAGTGAAGCACAAACACCATTGTAAATACAACCCATATTTATATGTTGATTTATTTTCCCTTTTGTACTCAACTATTTGCACATTGTTACTACGCTGTATATAGCCATAATATAACATTTGAAATGTCTCTATTCTTTCGAAAATGTTGTGAGTGTAATGTTTACTGTTCCTTTTTGATTCTTTATTTCACTTTTCTTTATTATCCATTTCACTTGCTTTGGCAACGTAAACATATGTTTCCCATGCCAATAAAGCCCTTTGAATTGAATTGAGAGCGAGAGAGCGAGAGAGAGAGAGAGAGATAGAGAGAGAGAGAGAGAGATAGAGAGAGATGGAGAGAGAGAGAGAGAGAGAGAGAGAGAGAGAGAGAGAGAGAGAGAGAGAGAGAGAGAGAGAGAGAGAGAGAGAGAGAGAGAGAGAGAGAGGAAAGTATAGGCCTGACTGAATTTTAACCACTAAAATTGTGACAAACAAGGCTTGTATGTTTTATGACTGTTGGGCTGAAATTCCTAATGAAACAAGCTCTGCAACACCTCTTGGACTGATATCTGTGACCCCATGCCACTCTTTCAGTAGAGGACAGTATGTACGTAGGGCACGACTCTGGCACTGTTTCCCTGTCAATTTTATCAGTGTGATTCTCTGCCTCTGACCCTATTACGGGGGCTGAGTCACTGGCCTGCTCGCACTCTTCCATCCTTCCTGTCCTCGGGCTCGCGCGGCGGGAAGATCTTCGTGGGCTATACTCGGCCTTGTCTCAGGGTAGTAAGTTAGCGGCCTGTTGATATGCCTTTAGTGGTGTGGGGGCTGTGCTTAGCCAAAGTGGGTGGGGTTATATCCTGCCTGGTTGTCCCTGTCCGGGGGTAACTTTGGACAGGGCCACAGTGTCCCCCGATCCCCCGTCTCAGTCTCCTGTCTCCATGCTGCAATAGTCTATGTGCCGGGGGGCTAGGGTCAGTCTGTTATATCTGGTGTCCTGTGTGATCTTAGATATGCTCCCTCTAATTCTCCATCTCTCTCTCCCCTCCCGGAGGACTACCTGGCCTGACGACCCCTGGCTGTCCCTAGTCCACCTGGTCGTGCTGCGGACCCAGTTTCTGCTGTTCCGCCTGCGGCCATGGAACCCTGACCTGGCAATAAACCCTGATCTGGCATTAAATTCACACATTCTCTGAGAGAAACAACACACTGACATGCCAGTCACACCTCAATCGACACCAGTCCTCCCGCTCACCTGTCCTTCTCTGCCAGGGCCTCCTGCTGCAGCCTGGATCCTAGTGACCCTCCCTCACACTCCTCCTCTTCCTCCTCCATCTTCATCTCTCTCTCCAGGGCCAGGCAGCGCTGGGACTCAGCCTCTGCCAGAGAGGCCATCTTCTCAGCCTCGCCCCGCGCTAACTGGGCCTCCTGACAACACAATGCATCAGGAGTGTCAGTGAATGTTCCAAATGTAACCACAGCATTTGAAACTGAGCACAGTAACAAAGTGTATCGGAATCATCAACATTGGAATAATACTAGTTTCTGTCAGATCTGTGTGACCTCCAGCATTAGTGTGTGTGTGTGTGTGTGAGTGTGTGTGTGTGTGTATATGTGTGTGTGTGCGTGCGTGTACCTCCTGCAGCAGCTCGACCTTGGTCTCGAGGATCTCCTGAATGTGGCTGATCTCCTGCTGCCGCTCCTCACAGAGACGCTGCAGCTCCTCCTCATTCTGATTGGTCAGGCTCTCCACCGTCGTCCTATCAGAGCACATGAACACGGCGATAAGGCTTAGTAAGATACAGTGTAGAATGAGAATATCACATCCTGTACCTCTATTTACAAAACATAAGTAAATAAAACACGATACATGTTTCTGTAGATGTTTTAACTGTTGTACTACAGGGTTAATCGTTTGCTGTAGTCTATGTATCTACTATTCCAAAGTTTAAAAGCTAGCAAGCTTTCTCCCTGGAGAGTGATAGTGTATGATAAACAGTAACCCATGGACTGAGGCTTGGTCCCTGCTCTCTACATCTAACTAGGCAACAGATGATCATTTCTCTTTCATGTGTTGTGGTCCTCTGACAGTTCTCACTTTTCCAGCCAGTGTCCATCACTGCTCCTCACTCACCACCTAACAGTACCATAAGAGTTAGCCCAGGGCTGCTTCTCTCAAGAGAGTGTTGCTCTAACTGCTTTTCCACTGTGGCTCTATATGTCATAGTCTTTTTAGAGCTATAATTACAATCACAGAGCTAACCTCTGTTTATTTATGAATCAGGGAGAGCACCACTTGGCCCTGGCACCCTTCTTGAACCGCAACAGGTCAACTAGAATTGAGGAGGGCTAGAGGGACTGACCCTGTACCCATACTCCTTCAGGGCTAAAGTGTCTTGACAAAGCACTTAACTGATTTATTAAGTAATTATTTCTCTGTATACAGTGCTGATTAATTCACATAATGATTTGTTCACAGGCTGATTCATGTATCAAATAAGGTGCTGATTGGTACAGATGTAGGATCTTAATTTGATCACCCTGTTGCAAGAGAACTTTCCTGCATTACAGGAAATGTAAAACTTGTAGTGTATTTGAGGTTTAAAAGGCTTCTGAAGTTTGTAATTGACACTTTGAAATGTCAGACTTGGTGTTCCCTTACGAAAAATGTATCAACCCCTACAAAAATGTCCATTAATTATAATTCCTACATAATAATTCACATTTCCTGATGCTGCAGGATTATTTTCCTGCTGTAGCAAACTGGCTCAAATTAAGGTCCTACATAGATACTTGTGTTACATTATTATTCTTGTGTCAAGTCGTGTTACATTATTATTCTTGAGAACAATAAACAAAAGTACATTTTACATTTACATTAGAGGCTGCTGCTGCCTATTGAAATCACAGCCACTTTAAGAAATGGAACACTAGTCACTTTAATAATGTTTACAGTCACTTTAATAATGTTTACATATCTTGCACTACTCATCTCATTTGTATATACTGCATTCTATTCTATAATATTCTAGTGTATCTTAGTCCATGCCGCTCTGTCATTGCTTGTCCATATATGTATATTTTCTTAAATTCCATTCCTTACTAGTTTTGTGTGTATTAGGTATATGTTGTGAAATTGTTAGATATTACTTGTTAGATATTACTGCACTGTCGGAGAAGCACAAGCATTTCGCTACACCCGCTATAACAACTGCTAAACGTGTATGTGACAAATACAATTTGATTTGATTTGATTTGATTTTACTCATTTTGCAGTTGCTGTTATCGTAACTAGGGCTGATTTTTGTCGGATGGCGGATGGTCAGGGCCCAACATAATTATAATAATTTATACACTGCAAATTGACCACAACTAAGCCTTAATTTCAGCCAGTTTGCTACAGCAGGAAAATAATCCTGCAGCAACAGGAAATGTACAGTGCATTCGGAAAGTATTCAGACCCCTTGATTTTTCCCACATTTTGTTACGTTACAGCCTTATTCTAAAATGCATTAAATTGTTTTTTTCCTCATCAATTAACACGCAATTCCCTATAATAACAAAGCAAAAACAGGTTTTTAGAAATGTTTGCAAATGTATTAAAAACAAAAAACTGAAATATAACATTTACATAAGTATTCAGACCCTTTACTCATTACTTTGTTGAAGCACCTTTGGCAGCGATTACAGACATCTTCTTGGGTATGACGCTACAAGCTTGGCACACCTGTATTTGGGGAGTTTCTCCCATTCTTCTCTGCAGATCCTCTCAAGTTCTGTCAGGTTGGATGGGGAGCGTCTCTGCACAGCTTTTTTCAGGTCTCTCCAGAGATGTTCGATCGGGTTCAAGCCCAGGCTCTGGCTGGGCCACACAAGAACATTCAGAGACTTGTCCCGAAGCCACTCCTGCGTTGTCTTGGCTGTGTGCTTAGGGTCATTGTCCTGTTGGAAGGTGAACCTTCGCCCCAGACTGAGGTCCTGAGCGCTCTGGAGCAGGTTTTCATTAAGGATCTCTCTGTACTTTGCTCCGTTCAAGTCCCTGCCGCTGAAAAACATCCCCACAGCATGATGCTGCCACCACCATGATTCACCGTAGGGATGGTGCCAGGTTTCCTCCAGACATGAGGCTTGGTATTCAGGCCAAAGTGTTCAATATTGGTTTGATAAGACCAGAGAATCTTGTTTCTCATGGTCTGAGAGTCCTTTAGGTAACTTTTGGCAAACACCAAGAGGGCTGTCATGTGCCTTTTACTGAGGAGTGGCTTCTGTCTGGCCACTCTACCATAAAGGCCTGATTGGCGGAGTGCTGCAGAGATGGTTTTCCTTCTGGAAGGATCTCCCATCTCCACAGAGGAACTCTAGAGCTCTGTCAGAGTGACCAACAGGTTCTTAGTCACCTCCCTGAACAAGGCCCTTCTCCCCCGATTGTTCAGTTTGGCCGGGCAGCCAGCTCTAGGAAGAGTCTTGGTGGTTCCAAACTTCTTCCATTTAAGAATGATGGAGGCCACTGTGTTCTTTGGGACCTTCAATGCTGCACACATTTTTTGGTACCCTTCCCCAGATCTGTGCCTCGACACAATCCTGTCTCGGAGCTCTACGGACAATTCCTTCGACCTCAATGCTTGGTTTTTGCTCTGACATGCACTGTCAAATGGGACCTTATATAGACAGGTGTGTGCCTTTCCAAATAATTTACCACAGGTGGACTCCAATCAAGTTGTAGAAACATCTCAAGGATAATCAATGGAAACAGGATGCACCTGAGCTCAATTTCGAGTCTCATAGCAAAGGGTCTGAATACTTATGTAAATAAGGTAATTCAGTTTTTTATTTATAATAAATGTGCAAAAAAAGCTCAAAAACCTGTTTTCACTTCGTCATTAGGGGGTATTGTGTGTAGATTGATGAGGATATTTCTTTATTGAATCTATTTTATAATAAGGATGTAACATAACAAAATGTGAAAAAAGTCAAGGGGTCTGAATACTTTCTGAATGCACTGTTAAATATTATGTGGATTATAATTAATGGACATTTTTTGTATAGGTTGATACATTTTTCGTTAGGGCAAATCAAGTCTGACATTTTAAAGTGGAAATTAGAAGCATTTTTAAACCTTGAATACACTACAAGTTTGCATTTCATACTCAGCAACAAAATAGTGATCAAATTAAGATCCTACATCTGTACCTTGATTACATTGAGAGAATCACGTCTTTTTTATTTGTGGGAATACTTGGGAGCAGATTTCCTAAATTAAACTTATTTTTAGCTGAATTCCTGGTGATTTGACAGTCATTTTTACCACAAACTAACCCCCCCCCCCCAAAAAAAAGTTGGGTGGCCAAATCACTTGCAGCCTGTTGTCGACCCCTGGTATACTGTACAGAGGGTCTGTAAAGGGGGTGCATGTTATATCTCTAACACTGAGAGACACTGAGACAGCTGCTCTATCTATGGGCAGGTGCTGTGGCTCAAATAGTCCCTGGCTCAGCAAAACAATCCAGAGGCTACCCCCCTTCTCTGCCTATTACCCTCTTACTCCATCTCTCCCTCTCCCCCATCCTTTTATCTTTAGTGCTATCTAGAACCTAAAAGGGTTCTTTGGCTGTCTCCATAGGAGAACCCTTTAAATAAATTTTTTTGGTTCCAGGTAGAACCCTTTTGGTCCAGATAGAACCCTTTTAGTTATATGTAGAACCCTTCCACAGAGGGTTCTACATGGATCCCAAAAGGGTTCTACCTGGAACCAAAAAGGGTTCTACCTGGAACCAAAGAGGGTTCTCCTATGGGGACACCTGAAGAACCCTTTTGGAATATTTTTTTCTAGGAGTGTACTATCCACAGAGCCACTTCATACTCTTCAAAAGCCCTTTAGAGCTCACCACTCCCACCATTCCACAGGGCTTTAGAACTGTTGTGTTAGGTGAGTCTACATGGCAGAGACAGGGTTAGGGTTAGGTTTAGCGAGAAGGACCCACATGCCCTGAGGGCAGCTGTAGTCTGCAGGGTGAACAGCAGGAATCTATTTTAGGACCAGACTGGACAGTACAGGGGGGGTAATGAGACCTTAGTCTGAATATAGAGATCAACTGTGAAGTGAGGAGGCTGTATTCTAGTATCAGTCTGTGCAAGGACACTTTGACAATATAAGACATGGTAGTGTACTCACAGGGCCTTGTCCAGAATCTCCTGTTTCTCCTGGAGCTCCTGCTTCAAGCTCTCCACCTCTACCTTCAATTCAATGTTCTGCAACAAACAGAAGGCAACGTCACACCACAGATCAACAATATATAATATAGAAACATTTTACTGTGCATGTTCTTTAGATGTATGTTCAATTTCAATATAATAATAATGTAACTGTAAATTATGTGTATGAAGCATGAATTGACTCAGATAAGCTTCATAATACAGTTTACAAAATGAGTGTCTCCCCAAGTACATGTGCCGACCCATATCTGTGGTATTTGAGAGTGAAGCAGGTTTCTAAATAGAAGACAGGGAAATGAACACTAGTTCAGTCTCCCCAACCCCCCATCCACCCCCTTCAGCCCCCTCTCCTCCTTCCACTGCCCCAGCCCACAGCAACAGGGACAGTTATAACTCCAGACACTGGAGCAGGGCAGAAACAGTCAGTTAATGGCTGAATATGGGCATACTCATGTGGGCTTATTAGAGTGTGTTTGGATGTACAGTAACAAAGACATGTTGAATTGCCAACCTGTTATTCTGTAAAGTGTATACGCATACATACACATACACACAAAGCCACGCACACATTCACAAGCTCTCTCTCTCTCTCACACACACACACACACAAACACGCATACACACGTACACACACACACAATGTTCCTCCCTATCCTGCTATCGTGGTTGTTGGTTGTGATTCTATTAAGGTGCCTGAAGCCGGAGTTCTTTCCAGACAACATTATTATTTAGGTCAGTAGGGAGTGAGCCTATAACTATTCAGCAAGATCACATCAGATAGACTTCAGGATTTAACATTTGTCCAGGTCCCCAGGACGTCGGGAGATGCCTTCAATAGCGTCTGCTAGGGGCAATGTGAGCACCAATGATGTACAGTTGAAGTCGGAAGTTTACATACACCTTAGCGAAATACATTTAAACTCAGTTTTTCACAATTACTGACATTTAATCCTAGTAAAAATTCCCTTTATTAGGTCAGTTTGGATCACCACTTTATTTTAAGAATGTGAAATGTCAGAATAATTGTAGAGAGAGATTTATTTCAGCTTTTATTTCTTTCATCACATTCCCAGTGGGTCAGAAGTTTACATACACTCAATTAGTATTTGGTAGCATTGCCTTTAAATTGTTTAACTTGGGTCAAACATTTCAGGTAGCCTTCCACAAGCTTCCCACAATAAGTTGGGTGAATTTTGGCCCATTCCTCCTGACAGAAATGGTGTAACTGAGTCAGGTTTGTAGGCCTCCTTGCTCGCACACGCTTTTTCAGTTCTGCTCACAAATGTTCTATAGGATTGAGGTCAGGGCTTTGTGATGGCCACTCCAATACCTTGACTTTGTTGTCCTTAAACCATTTTGCCACAACTTTGGAATTATGCTTGGGGTCATTGTCCATTTGGAAGACCCATTTGCGACCAAACTTTAACTTCTTGACTGATGTCTTGAGATGTTGCTTCAATATATCCACATAATTTTCCTTCCTCATGATGCATTCTATTTTGTGAAGTGCACCAGTCCCTCCTGCAGCAAAGCACCTCCACAGCATGATGCTGCCACCCCCGTGCTTCACGGTTGGGATGGTGTTCTTCGGCTTGCAAGACACCCCCTTTTTCCTCCAAACATAACGATGGTCATTATGGCCAAACAGTTCTATTTTTGTTTCATCAGACCAGAGGACATTTCTCCAAAAAGTACAATCTTTGTCCCCATTTGCAGTTGCAAACCATAGTCTGGCTTTTTTATGGTGGTTTTGGAGCAGTGGCTTCTTCCTTGCTGAGCGGCCTTTCAGGTTATGTCGATATAGGACTTGTTTTACTGTGGATATAGATACTTTGGTACCTGTTTCCTTCAGCGTCTTCACAAGGTCCTTTGCTGTTGTTCTGGGATTGATTTGCACTTTACGCACCAAAGTACGTTCATCTCTAGCAGACAGAACGCGTCTCCATCCTGAGTGGTATGACGGATGCGTGGTCCCATGGTGTTTATACTTACGTACTATTGTTTGTACAGATGAACGTGGTACCTTCAGGCATTTGGAAATTGCTCCCAAGGATGAACCAGACTTGTGGAGGTCTACAATTTTTTTTATGAGATCTTGGCTGATTTCTTTAAATTTTCCCATGATGTCAAGCAAAGAGGCACTGAGTATGAAGGTAGGCCTTGAAATACATCCACAGGTACAGACTCAAATTATGTCAATTAGCCTATCAGAAGCTTCTAAAGCCATGACATCATTTTCTGGAATTTCCCAAGCTGTTTAAAGGCACAGTCAACGAGTGTATGTAACCTTCTGACCCACTGGAATTGTGATACAGTGAATTATAAGTGAAATAATCTGTCTGTAAACAATTGTTGGAAAAATTACTTGTGTCATGCACAAAATAGATGTCCTAACCGACTTGCCAAAACTATAGTTTGTTAACAAGAAATTTGCGGAGTGGTTGAAAAACGAGTTTTAATGACTCCAACCTAAGTGTATGTAAACTTCCAACTTCAACTGTATATAAACACTAGCTTTCTGATGCTATGTATTGGCCAATGAGAAGCTTTGAATCCACCGGTCAGCAATATTGGTACTCCTCAGAAGGAGCAGTCCTCCATAAGAATGAATGGAATTCTACAGTATTTCAAAATACATTTATACATTGTATTCTTCGAGAATCAATGGGTATACAGTATATCATTAATTTATAAGTCCAAAAATTGATATAGCAACTAAAGATTCTAGCTTGGAGCATTTTGGTGTACAATGCGCTCTGCGAACGCCGTAGGGTCCCATGCCTTATAATGCCAAAAAGCCCCATCTGTCTGCTCTCCTTTCCACTCTCTAAGTGGAGCTGACTTGAAGTGTAAGGTTTCAGATCCTACATTTGCATAGGGAGTGATGTGTCACATTTTCCGGACCACGCTGGGCCAATTGTGCGCCGCCCTATGGGACTCCCAATCACGGCCGGTTGTGATACAGCCTGGAATCGAACCAGGGGGTCTGTAGTGACGCCTCAAGCATTAGACCGCTGCGCCACTCGGGAGCGGCTCTCGGCTTGCTAGGTCGTTGTGGATGGGGATAGATAGTAGTAGCGTTGCACGAGCCTTGGCTTGTGCGAGCCGGAACAGCTCATAGGGCAGGAGCCTATCTTCTGTTTATATAGCGTGAGGCAGCTTGATGTACAAGTACACCTCCTGGATAGGACACTAGTCTATCGCAGGGCCTTACCCCCAATCTAGCTCCTTAAAGCTGCACTATGCAGAAATCGCTCCGCCTTTTCCTGGTTGCTAAAATTCTAATAGTTTGCCTAATTTCAGTTTATGTGACAAAAAAAGCTAGTATAGTATAGAGAATCATTGTACCATCTAAACCGCTGTGAAATATATTTTCCATAACCAAAAATATTGTATTTTCAGCTGTAAGAAGCTGGTGTACAAAACTGAATGTAAAAGATACAAAAACGAAACTTTAAGAACGGGAAGCATAGAAATAGCGCACATAGAACAGATCTACAGCTTCTTAGACTTGCTTTCAATGAGAATGACAGATCTTTAACTCACATTTCTATGTGAATTTGGTTGGGTCGCCTAAAAAGTTACATATCGCAGCCAAGCAGAGACGCATCAGGTCCCATTTTTTAAGTCTTTGGTATGACTCGGCCAGGGATCGAACTCACAACCTTCCAATATCAGGGATACTGGTTCAGGGGGCGTAGGCCTTTTCAACAGAGACCAACTGCGTTTGGATTATCAGTGTGAGATTATTGATGACTCAGTGGATGGCATCCTATGGGTTAAACTAACAGCTAAACAACATCTCCAGTCAAACCACGTCTTCAGGGCGTCAGGTAGCCTAGCGGTTAAGAATGTTGGGCTAGTAACCGAAAGGCCGCTGGTCCGAATCCCTGAGCCGACTAGGTGAAAAATCTGTCAATGTGCCCTTGCGCAAGGCACTTAACCCTAATTGCTTGGGGTAAAAGCGTCTGCTAAATGACTAAAATGTTTAAATAATATGTTGATGCACCAGACTTTTATGAGAGTTTACTCTGTCATGTATACAAGTATGAGAAGTTTGTCCCTTTTCTCACATTGGGCAACTTTAATAGCCTCTGTGCTGATGCCCAGGACTATATTGAGGGAGTGGACTGATTGGAGAACGGAACATGGTGGATTACTCACACAACTCTCACGGAGAGTTCCTGATTAGTGCAAACTGTTGCATTTTAAATGGAAGGAATTACAGCAACAATGACTTCACATGTGTATCATCAAAGGGGCAATATGTTGTGGATTATATACTGCTCCCCCATGAGAATTTAGACTGGTTCAGTGACTTTGCTGTGATTATGAGCAGGGACCTCTTCACCCAGGCAGGCTGTGTGTCTGCCATTGATCCACCAAGAGTGATCCCGGACCATCCGTGTCCCACATGCTCCATGGCTCTCCCAGTTCCAGCATTCACTCCCCCCCATCCCAATGACCAGTGAGACATGGAGGGTGCTACCATCACCAAATTCAACCTGTCCAGTATTCCAGAACATTTGATGACAAGTAATGTATGTGAAGCAGCATTGAATGACTGTACAAGCTCTTTGGTTATTGCTTTGTTCTGGATATGTGGAAATACGGCTTCATCAACCCTATGCCCAAGTCAGGAGACAAAAGGGTCCCATTGAACTATCGTGGTATAACCCTGACCTCTGCTGTGAATAAACTATTTTTTTGTTTTCTGTTTAACTGCATTTCCCACTGAGATAAAACCAACAATATCAGAGCAGATGAGCAAAATGGGTTCAGAAAGAAATGAAGCTGCCTGGACCACATCACCACCTTAACCACAATCATAGATTCAAGGGAAAAACATTTAAAAGTCCACTTTCTGTTCTTTCATAGATTTCTCTAAAGCCTTTGACCACATTTACATAAATATGTTATGGTACAAGTTGGAGCCAATTGGTCTAAATGGTAACATCCTGAAATGGCTTATCTCCATGTATGATAATGTGAAATGTTGTGTTCGAGTCAATGGCTGCCTAACTGACTGGTTTCCCATTGACATTAGAGTGAAACAGGGTTGAATTGTATCACCTATTCTGTTCTCACTGTATATTAATGATCTCACTCTGGTCAACAAAGCTCTAGGAAAAGGTGTCTGTCTAAACAATTATTTGATATGCAGATGACATTGTATTGATCTCTGAACCTGAAGATTTTAAATATAGTTTTTAACTGGGGTGAACAATGAAAACTGAATATCAATGTAGACAAAACTAAGGTAGGAGGAGGTATAGGAGCTAAGGTATAGGAGCTCAGCAGTGCCTAGTTCACCTTATATTTTCTCCTGATGTTGTCAGTGAGTACAAGTATTTGGGGTTGATGATTATTAATGCATTTTGGGATTACAATGTGTCTGTTAACCCTGTATATTTGTGGGTATTGGCCTATATGGATAAGGCTAAATTGAAATGTTTTTTACAGAAGAATATGAAATGCATACGCTTGGTAGCAATTTAAAGGGAACACTTTGGAGATCATGGGGAAATTATCAGACCAAAGTTGAGAACACAACAGATCACCTGATACAAGACTGAATCCAAACATTACACTGTTGATTTTATGTGCATTTTACATTTACTGTACTTTTCGCCGCATTTGTTGATAACAAAATCTAAAAATACTCTGGATCCCTAAATCATTTCTGTGCACTTTTATGACTCAAAGAAGAGTCTTCAACTATAAGGTGCTTTTTTGAGCTCTCCCACCTGTGGCGTTGAGGAACTAGAGCAAGCACACTTACTGTTGTTGTTTTACGCAATCCAAAAACCTCCCATTATAAATCGCAATCTGGGTAGGTGGGCATCAATTGAAAGCTTGATCTATTGCCAACATGACTAGCTAAATTATAAAATACGATCTTACAGTGGAAGGTTTTCACAGGGCAATTTAGAGAAACAGGTCTTAATTTAGGTGTGCATAGAAAGGAGTCAGGCGTGCATTTAGGTGCATGTTCGCAGCGGATTCTCTTCACAATAAACAAACATAGGCTCATTCTGTTCAGAACAACCCAGGGTATGACGCCATGTCATCTTGTAACGGTACATCAAACATAGTGGTCATAAACGTTGACACTGTATATGACATGAGTTTTATGACATGGAAATGTGAAGTGACCAAATGTGAAGTGACCAACTCCTTGTCGCGTGCGGTGCTCATGTTCAAAATGGCTGCCAGTCAAAACCCATACAGCGCTGTGAAGCGCAGAGCCTGAGCGCTGATGTAATGTATAGCCTGCTAGTGTAAGTACATACCTAACCATGCAAATTGTGTCCTTGGTGCCATCATTGCAAAGTGTAAAGTCATTCGTAGCCTACCTTTTAAATATTTCATAAAACTGTTTGATTCATTGGTGCTACCTATTATTACTTATGCTGCAGTAGTATGGGGGCAGAGACATGTTACTTGTGTTAATTCTGTTTTTGCATATTTTACTGTACATGCCAAATGCTGCTATTCATGGCGATATGGTTCTAACATGTCGCTATTCTTAAACCTTTGGATGCAGTCTCCCATAGCGCCCTTCGCTTTATCACAGGTGATAGTTTGAATACGCATCACTGCATTATGTATCAAAAGGTTGGCTGGTCCTCATTAAAGTCCCGTAGATCACTTTGTTACTCCCTTTTTGTTTACAAAGCTCTACTATACAAGCTTCCGACTTACCTAATTTAGTTGTTAAAGTATAAAAACATGAGATACCAGACCCGTTCACAGGGTTGGTTAACTCTTGAGATTCCTCAGGTCGCCACCGAAGTAGGTAAATCCGCTTTTAGTTTTAACGCTCCACATGTTTGGAATCACTTACAAAATTCATTACATTTAGATTCCCTGGTGCCACTTGGGAAGTTTAGAACCCTGATGATGAGTTCACAGAGTTGTGCAACTGTTTTGATTGATTGACTTTAATCATTTGTTTATGATGGCTGTGATGTTTGTGATGTTCCAACGTAATGTACTTGTTATTGTATATTGTTATTCTATCTTGTAGTTGTATCTTTTATTTTACACTACCGGTCAAAAGTTTTAGAACACCTACTCATTGAAGGGTTTTTCTTTATTTTTACTATTTTCTACATTGTAGAATAATAGTGAAGACATCAAAACTATGAAATAACACATATGGAATCATGTAGTAACCAAAAAAGTGTTAAACAAATCAAACTGTATTTGAGATTTTAGATTCTTCAAATAGCCACCCTTTGCCTTGATGACAGCTTTGCACACTCTTGGCATTCTCTCAACCAGTAGTCACCTGGAATGCATTTCAATTAACAGGTGTGCCTTCTTAAAAGTTAATTTGTGGAATTTATTTCCTTCTTAATGCGTTTGAGCCAATCAGTTGTGTTGTGACAATGTGGGGGGGGGGGGGGGGGGGGGGGGGGGGTATACAGAAGATAGCCCTATTTGGTAAAATACCAAGTCCATATTATGGCAAAAAAATAAGCTAAGCGAAACGACAGTCCATCATTACTTTATGACATGAAGGTCAGTCAATACGGAATGCTCAGCATATGTGGGAACTCCTTCAAGACTGTTGGAAAAGCATTCCAGGTGAAGTTGGTTGAGAATAGTTCGGAATGTGGTATCCACCCGTGCCTGCTTCCTCTCAGATCTTAGGCGGGTCCAGCTGCTCCTTTCAAGTGCGGCTAACCTGAGAACCCAATTTGGAATCTCCCGTGCACGGTTTACCCAGGCCTTCAGGAGCGGTCACCAGGTGAAGTTTCACCTCCCATCTTCGTCGCCAAATGTAGTGGAAATTCTAATCAATAATGAGGAGAGACAGGGTCAATCACCAATCAGGATATTACTTTATTCAAAACGTATTAATAAGGTAATAAGCGATGCTGGTCATGGGTTGCTTAGCTATATACAGCAGCCAATGTTTGTTTTAAGATGTAAACTGAACAATTTAGCAGTTTGCTTAGTTGAAATTTAAAGACTAATTTATGAATAGCGCAACGATTCCGAGGTAATATTTGTGTGTTGCCTAATGGTTTACGGGAGGAACCTACTGAGAATGGGGTTGTATTTTAAAATACTGAATTTAATATGGATATGTATTGAATATATGCTTGTCAACAACAGTCAGTGTTTGTTTTATTACCTGTAGTCTACTCAGAAGGGAATGTTACCTATATCTAATGCATTCTATTAATAGCGGATAGGCAATTGCGATAGAGCTGTGACCATGATCATGGTTGATAGCTGGATATGGGTGTTAATTATTGCATGATAATACAAGGCTACAACAGCAATCTAGTATTGTGACAGTTGTCAAGTTAGTTTTTTTAACCTTATGATAGAGGTAAACGCAGAACGTTTGAGAATGGTTTATTATTTTCTACTAGTAAGAATAGAAGAGTTTCCATGTTTTGGTCTGCGGGTGTTAGCGACTGGGGCTCGCTGTACTACAGTGGGCTGTAAGGGACATAATGGGTTCAGTTCGGTGTAGTGGTATGACTAAGTTAAATGTGTCGTTGGACATTGATCCAGTAACGATACCAGGATAATTTGACATGGGAGCAAATGGAGCCGATTTTGGGGTTGGATAATCCTTGCGAGAATTAAAGACAATGGAATCTAAAGGGTAATCAATTAAAAATACTCCTTACAAACTCAGATAACCTTGGGTGTTTTCATCTCGTGACAGATTTTATGTTGTCTTATTCTGGAGTAGTCACTAGGAATTAGATTGAAACAAACAATTAATGATTTGAGGGAGTACAGTGGAATTATCTTCATCATGTTTTGTTTGTAATTAAAACGTTTGGGTTGCTGATTAAGATGTGCTGTAGTGAATGTTAACGAAATGTAAACTTTCTCTTCCAGGAGAGGAGGGTGTCATTATCTCTCTCTTTGAAATGTTTCCTGAGTCTGTGGTCTTGAGGAGAGCAGTTAGTGAAATTCGGCTGTTTTATTAAGTATAAAGGTATCTGGATTCGGCCGTAAAGGGAGCTACCAAATTAAACAAGGCCTGGCCATGTTTGTTTGTTTTTGCCATATGGTTTGCAAATACCCACAAACAACACACTTGTTATGAACATGTGGGTTTTGTGGGTTTTTCACGGGTTAGACAGACCGCACCTTAAAGGGGCACACACACAGAATTTTCTGATGTTTTTCTTTTCTGAGTTTTAATTAAACACGTGATTTATTTTGACAAGAACTGTACTGAAGACTTACTGTACACCTGGGATATGAAATGTATGAAATGTTGGACTGTTTTGAAATTATTAGTCTACTATAGAATGAAACACTTCTTTGAAGGGTTTGAATGACCTCTGACCTCTGTCCTGACTTTCTAGTGTGGTTTGATCACCCTCACTGGAAAGCTGAGAGAATTTAAGGTCATTTGTAATACTGATTTGAAGGTCATTTGTAATACTGATAATTATGAAGAAGTTTATAGTTCATAGCCATGTTTGTGATTCGTTCCACGGGGGTCAGAGAGGGCTGCCCTTGAATGAGGGTAGGCTGTCTTAAGTCTATTTTCCTATGACCGTATGGGGAAAAAAAAAAACACGCGCTGACATCCAACATGTGTAAGTTGATGGAAAGGATGATAGTGAGTAGGATGATGCATTTCTTGGAAGTTGGGGGTTTGATGAGCGTAGCACAGAGTGGGTTCAGGAGAGGGAGGTCTGCCATGGATGCCCTGGTGACAGTTAGTACAGAGATAGCCGAGTCCCTGACAATAAAATAGTTGATGAGTGTTGTGTATTTTGTCATTGAGAAAGCTTACGATACCATGTGGAGGGAAGGGTTGTTGATCAAGTTGAGTGCATTGGGCATTGGGGGACGTCTGTATAACTGGATCATGGACTTCCTGTTCGATCGAGTCATACGGGTGAGGGTGGGGTCAGAATTGTCAATGTGGTTCGAAGTGGACAATGATACTCTTCAGGGAAGTGTGGTTAGTCCGGTGTTGTTCACCCTGATGATAGATTACATATTTAAGGAGGTGGGACAGGGAGTGGGTGTGGCCTTGTATGCCGATGATGGGGCTGTATGGAAGAGAGGTGGGAATGTGAAATATGTGATGAGGAAGATGCAAGAAGCTGTGGGAGTTGTGGAAGATTGGTCTCTAACATGGGGGTCTAGGATGTATGTGGCCAAGTCCTGCTTTATGGTGTTTTCTAGGAGGAAGGTTCAAGATATTAGGCTGAAAATATACGGTCAAGATATAGGTAGAGTGTCTGAGTTTAAGTATTTAGATATGTGGTTTGACAAATTAAGTTTAGGAAGGTGTTGAACCTCATGAGGGCAGTGGCAGGATATGATTGGGGGTCGGATAGACAAACACTGTTGTATATGTACCGTATCAGGCATTGATCAGGTCATCTTTGGATTATGGGTGCTTTGTATATGGATCGGCAGCCAAAGCGGTACTACAGCGCCTGGATAGAATACAGTCAAGGGCCCTGAGATTGTGTGCGTGTGCCTTCAGGACAACAACTGTTGAGGCATTGCATGTGGATTGTGGGGAACTGCCACTGAGGAAAAGGCGGGACAAACTTGCATTAGCGTGCTGGGCGAAGTTGAAAGGGAGTTCACAAAGAACATCCTGCGGTCACGGCAACTGGGGAATGCTGGAAGCGAGGAGGGGGTAAGCAGAGGGCGTACGGGTGGACAGTTGGGCAGAAGGTGGTAGAATATGGACTGGGGGAGAGAGAGATAGGGCCGGCAATTGCCATGGGGAACGTTCCTTCGTGGCTGTTTCCGAAACCAAGTGTAGATGTGGATATGATTGAGGGTAAGAGAGAATGGGGTGAGGACGTGAGACAGTGTGTGGAGAGATATATAGATAATCAGTTTTATTTGTTTTTAATGATATATACAGATGGTTCAAAGGATCCAGTCAGTGGTAGGGTGGGGGCAGGGGTTTATATCCCAGATTTCAATGTTAGAGTATGTAAGCAGTTAACTGATTATGTGCCAGTGTATGCGGCCAAGATGATGGCCATGATTATAGGTTTGAGATGGGTGGAGGAGGTGAAACCACTCAGAGTGGTGATCTGCTCTGATTCGGCTGCAGTGTGGAGTAGTGTGAAGACGGGCAGGTCGGATAGGGGAGACTTGTTTGTGGAGATGATGGAGCTGTTAATGGGATTGGAGAGGATGGGAGTGGTGGTAAGCTTTTGCTGGGTTCCCGCCAATGTGGGTGTGGAGGGTAGAGGGGGTAGATATTCAGGTCCCGCTGGGAAGGGAAGTCAAGTCCTTGATCCTGGCAAAAGGGCTCGATCTTTGGCAAAGGGAGTGGGATACTAGTAGTAAGGGGAGGCAATGTTACCATGTGCACCGGTCAGTTAAGGAAGAGGTGAGGAGTATGGGATGTAGGAGAGAGGAAGTTGTGTGGAGTAGACTACGGTTTGGGCACACAGGTTAGAATGTCACATTGTGGATGATGGGGAGACATGAAACTGTGTGATGAGTGTTTAGTGGAGGAAACGGTGGAGCATGTGTTAATATTTTGTGAACTGTATGACGTAGATAGGGAGAGATTGTGTGATAGGGTTAGAGAGGTTGTATGGGGTTGGGGTTTGGGTGGTGTAGTGGGGGGAGGAAATGGGAGGGAAGTGGTGTCTAGGGCTCTATTTCACTTTCTTAGAGGAACATGAGTAATATAGGTAGGCCGTGTCTGGCCTCACACTTTAGTACAGTAGGTGGCGGTGTATGCACCTTAAAAGTTGGATGTGATCCGCCAACACAATCTCAAAGAAGAAGAAGAAGACGGACTTCTGGAGTCATGACGGTTTCCCGAGTGGAGGACTATGGGAGGTGGATGGACGCGGACGATGGCGGAAGCGGATGGTGAACAAAAATCTGATGGTGGTGGAAACAAGGACGAATGGACTAATGTCCAAAAGAATGGGAAAATAAGCAAAATTGGTGCGGAAAAGAATGCGGCTAGTCTTGATAATACCCCCATCGTATCTGGTAGGAGTACGGTATACAGAAAAAAGATATATGCCTGACTTGGTGAATCCGTTAAAAATTTGTTGAAGAAATCTTTAGGTAAAGTGAAATCGGTAGTGCTGAGCAATTAGTGCTTACAGCTCATCTTTCCTGCAATTCTATACATTATCCCATAGGGTGGAGAGATGTTTGCAGTTTTTAATATGATATCTGAGTGAGAATGACAAAATCAACAAAATCAATGGAGGCCCCCCAGTCGGTATTTCAACCATGATTACTACAAGTTTAGATAGCTGGCTAGACTAACTTACCAATCAAAAAATTTTTAGCTGACATGGGCTAATTGAGTTACTGTCTGTAACTGACATAACAAGATAAAAACTGCTGATGCACAACCAAATTTCGAAATTGCACCTTGTGTATTCTACTATTCTAACTCTCTTTCATAGTGGGTAAATTGATCCACAGGCCTACAAAAGGGGTGTGTGACAGTTGTCCATCCCTGATCTACGGAGAAGGGCACCTGTCAAGGGAGTCATTTCTGGAGTTTTGAAAGAAGTCGCCATTGCTCTATTAAAGAATATACCTGGAGTGGTCGATGAACGAAGGATGAATCGTGTGGTAAAAGGCATGAAGGAGAAGAGTTTGTCTGTTCTTGTGTTTTTTTTATGTGGAGTTTCTCCCTACCAGAGTGCAGCTGGGATATGTATACTAACCTATCAGAGCATTTATATACAGGCCTTTGCAATGTATTGTCTGCCGAAGGGAGAAGCCAAGGTGTGGGATATGTGGGGAAAACCACTATGAAGGTGAATGTGTAGCAGAAGAAAACGGCAAAGGAGCAAAGTGCTGTAACTGTAATGGAGACCATGAAGTGAAGTCCTTGGAATGCCCGATTAGGGTGAAAGAGACTGAGATTGCCAAAACCTGAGCAGTTCAGAGAGTCTCCTATGTGGAAGGTGTCAAAAGGGTAGAAAGATTGAGTATCTCTGAAGGTCCCATGGTAGTGAATACCAGTAGGCCTACACTGCAGCATGAGTATTGCTAACAGGATCCAGAAATGCTTGATATAAAGAAGGTGGATTTAGTCTCTTTTACAGCAATGGTGGAACACGGTACTGCTCAAGTGGAAAATAAGAAAAATCGACATCATTGTATCTGCAGCTGGGATTAAAAGATTTCACATCTGAAGAGCTATTTGGAGTACTGTCTTGAGCAGTCCCAACCTCTCAGGCCCCAGAGCCTGATTAGGGAAGTTTGAATTACCGAATGACTGAAGGAGTGGGAAGATTTTAGTTGATAATTAGTATTATATTTTTGTAGTTATTGTGTATTAATGTTATTTTTCCCCTTTCCGTAATGGCATGCACCTCTAATCTAAGAAGAAGACTGACTTGCGTGTTAGGTAGTGATGGAAAATCAAGGCTTTCTGAAGCCTTTGGGGCTTTCACTAAATTGTGCCGAAAAACGGTTATTTACTCAGAGCTTTTAACTCAATGCACATGAGTGAAATCTGCTGGTCAGCAATGAAAAGCAGCGTTTGATGTTTATATCTAAGTTTTTTCACACTATTCATCCACTCTCCAAGGTGCAGCGGTTATTCGCAAGTCTTCGTAGCATACAATCAGCTACCATTGCAGGTTTGCACCTTCCATCATGCTTCCCTTTTTTGCTGTGAATCCCTTTTTTTGCTGTCAAAAACGGAATCTATGGCATTATTTAGGATGCTTAAGACAGAAGCTTATACTTTACTCAATAAAACGAATTGCTTAAACAAAAATGTGCAGAAAGTGTGGTGTCACATAAAACGATTTTCAACATAATCTGCCTTCGCCCCCATTCCCTGTCGTCTGTGCTCTGGTCCCTGAGACCCCGACTCTACCTGCTGAGCTACCATTCAGGTGACGCTACAGGAAAAATCCTAACTACATTGTAAGTATTGTGTCCAGTAGAGGTCAGTGTTTAAAAGCAGCTTTGATCAGAAGAAAGCACCGGAACCACGGCGAAATCAGTGGGATGTCGCTTTTTGCAAAACACGGTTTGTAAAACCGCGTCATCAAACGAAGCATCGGACGTCATTGATCACGTGATAATGTTACTTTGAAACGAGCATAGGTACATTGTGTCGGATCAGTAGTGCTTTGAAAACTGCATCATAGCTCTGGTATCAATCGTCCCATCAGTAGTGTTATGTAGAGCGAAATGCAAGTTATTATTATTTTGATCTCGATCGAGAGAATCCAAAAACCTGTATTTTGTCTCTGTAGGACTTGACATCACCCCAGACCCATTAAAAGGTAAACAAGAACAAGAAATGTTCATTAAATATGCATTATTTGTTTGTCTGATATGGACACAGTTGTACCAAAATAAGCGCCTGCGCCTTTATGAGTTTTGGTGTATTGTTTGTCCGTGTCTGACAGATATGGCCAATGCTACAGTGAAATTCACGGGACTTGTGCCACAGAATGAGATGTTTATTTATTTTGAAAAAATTATACCAAATGTAATCTCATTTGAAAACCTGTTTGAAACAATATTAGGAAAGGATACAAAGGGTAAAAAGCCTTATTCATTCACCTGAATAATTGATAAAAACATTTATCTGATACTCAAGATTTATATAAAAGAAAACAGATGTGTATGATGTATTTGAGCCTGTGCTGTGCCAATTCAGTAAGTCTCACACAAATATGGACCAGTCCACTGTATTCTACAGCTCTTTTGGATATAAGGCTTTACTAGTCTATTCTTCATTGCAAAAATAGGCAAAAATCGCTCCAAGGCTGTCAGCTCAAGAGTTATTAACCACATTACCTATCAGTCAGCCTTCTAGGATAACTGACCAATGTTGCAGCTCTGTTTTGACAACATGCAGAACAATATAACTTTGGGCCCAGGATATCTAATGTAAAACTTTGCATTTTGACACTATGTATCACTTTCCCAGTAATTACAGTTCCAGTCAAAAGTTTGGACACACCTACTCATTCCAGGGTTATTCTTTATTTTTACTGTTTTCTTCATTGTAGAAATTAGTGAAGACATCAAAACTATGAAATAACACATGGTATCATGTAGTAACCAAAAAAGTGTTAAACAAATCAAAATATATTATATATATGAGATTATTCAAAGTAGCCACCATTTGACCTGATGACAGCTTTGCACACTCTTGGCATTATTTCAACCAGCTTCATGAGGTAGTCACCTGGGGTGCATTTCAATTAACAGGTGTGCCTTGTTAAAAGTTAATTTCTGGAATTTCTTTCCTTCTTAATGCGTTTGAGCCAATCAGTTGTGTTGTGACAGGGTAGGGTTGGTATACAGAAGATAGCCCTATTTGGTAAAAGACCAAGTCCATATTATGGCAAGAACAGCTCAAATAAGCAAAGAGAAACGACAGTCCATCATTACTTTAAGATATAAAGATAGTTTCTTCAAGTGCAGTCTCAAAAATCATCAAGCGCCATATATGATGAAACTGGCTCTCATCAGGACCGCCACAGGAAAAGAAGACCCAGAGTTACCTCGGCTGAGATTTTTGGTTCCAACCGCAGTGTCTTTGTGAGACTCAGAGTAGGTGAACGGATGATCTCCGCATGTGTGGTTCCCACCGTGAAGCATGGAGGAGGAAGTGTGATGGTGTGGGGGTGCTTTTCTGATGACACTGTCTGTGATTTATTTAGAATTCAAGGCACACTTAACCATCATGGCTACCACAGCATTATGCAGCGATACGCCATCCCATCTGGTTTGCGCGTAGTGGGACTTTCATTTCTTTTTCAACAAGACAATGACCCAACACACCTCCAGGCTGTGTAAGGGCTATTTGACCAAGAAGGAGAGTGATGGAGTGCTGCATCAGATTACCTGGCCTCCACAATCACCCGACCTCAACCCAATTGAGATGGTTTGGGATGAGTTGGACCGCAGAGTGAAGGAAAAGCAGCCAACAAGTGCTCAGCATATGTGGGAAGTCTTTCAAGACTGTTGGAAAAGCATTCCAGGTGAAGCTGGGTGAGAGAATGCAAAGAGTGTGCAATGCTGTCATCATGGCAAAGGGTGGCTACTTTGAAGAATGTCAAATATAAAATATATTTTGATTTGTTTAACACTTTTTTGGTTACTACATGATTCCATATGTGTTATTTCATAGATTGATGTCTTCACTATTATTCTACAATGTTGAAAATAGTAAAAATAAAGAAAAACACTTGAATGAGTAGGTGTGTCCAAACTTTTGACTGGTACTGTATATTAACTCTAATCTCTTTCTATTAGCCCTTGCTCTGTGTTTACTATCTGAGCTCAGATCAGTCCTCTACTGACAGGGCTGTGTGATTGACAGGGTCTGTTAACACTCAGAGACAGGTCTGAGACCTGCTTTCAGATGTAGTTATCATTATATGCTGGGATCTGCAGCATAAACAATCAACAGGAAGACAGCTACAAACTAAAGTATGTACTGCAAACTACCATAGGATATACTTGGGGCCTGGGATTTTACTGTTAACCATGATTACAGTATTCATTCATTCATTCATGCATTCATTCATTCAACGATGTGACTAGCATGACTCCATCATCTGGAGTTAAATAGCCTATGCATTTTCATGTATGATGAACCTAGAGCATACAGCATAGACCAAACACCAAAACTCTATCACCCGCTTTCTCTGTCACACACACACACACACACACACAACAGAAGCAGCACATGAAACCGTGACACAGCCAATGCAATTGTAAAATTGCAACAAATGACCATTCCCCCCTGCAAAGTTTCCCCTTCCCAACTCCTTTCCCCTATCCCCTCCTGCACCCCTCTCCTCCACCCCTTCGTGCCGCAGTAGGACTCACCCTCTTGTGGACATCGTCGCTGTTCCTACCCCCTCTCCCCTGTCCCTCGGTGCCCCAGTGAGACTCACCCTCTTGTGGACATCGTCACTGCTGTCCTCGTACTTCTGCTGGATCCTCTCCTCAAGGAAGTAGATCCGCAGCTTCAGGCTGAAGTTCTCCTTCTTCAGGTCTTTCAGGTGCTGAGAAATAGTGCGGTAACAGCGGAAACTGTTATACATGGTGACAGGTTTTTCACAGGGTGCAACAGAGCCCCCATTCATCCTGCATCCTAAAGCAGCACTAAATAAAAACGTAATAACATAAACAACTATAATTCCAAATCTTTCAGTAGAATAGCAGTTGCTGTCTAACTGTAGGACAGCAACACTGATGTCCAACACACGATCAAGAATGAAGTGAGTGACAATCACAACCAGAGTAGAGAGCTGCCTCCTCTTTTTTCAACATTGAGGAGGGGGGAGTGGGTGGGTTGATAGAGAGTTGTATCTGAGTTTCTTTTTTTAACACTGTGAAGTTATCCCAGGAATCTGACATGGGCTGGAGAGTGGCACAGACAGACCACAGGCACAAGTGGTGTGCTGCTACTGTAGCTGATAGGGAACAAATACTGTATGGGACTACACTTGGGCAGTAGCCTTCAATTTGATCTGGAACTGTAATGGAAATAAATAGGTTGCTTACTAGTTTGAAATCACATACTGTGTTGATCTAGGAGACAAGTTGATGGTTAGTGCCCCACCCTCCCACCACTCTGTATCCCCCAAAAGTTAACCCTCACTGAGCTAGGCACAACAGCTGCTTCTAAGAACCTCCAACGCTCCACCCCATACCAGTATACATACGGGCAGAAAAGGCAAAGCACCTAAACAAGTTGAACTGGAACCATAAATGCTGAAACAACACTGTAAGTGCATGTATATCTCCAATGAAGCATATGAGATATGAATATCAACACTTGACAACTATGGAGTGACTATATGCTATGTGACCAAAAGGGGGTGCTATAGCTCCACTCTCCTGCTCTGTTCACCTGAGTGAGTGGAAACGCTGATATATATATATATATATATATAATGAACCATGTGGAAGGTGTGTTCCATGACCTTCCACAGAGTTGCATTATTTTCCAGAGAATGCCGCATAGATCCCCGAGTTGATTATCCCTTTTATACCATGGCTATAATTGAACACATTTGCCATTAGAAATGTGTTCATTTGCCAGTAGAAATGTGTTTAACATCCACTGAAGTAGCTAGCAAGTTTACTAGATAGCTACAGTAGTTACCGTGGGTAACCAAACAAATAGACTTGCTAGTTTAGCTAACCAAACCATCAGTCCTAGCTTGCTATTATGAAAATCAAGTTCAACAATGCCAATACTGTTTTGATTTCTGACTTTTTCTTTTCAAAAGCAGCTCAAACATAGAACATTTAAGAATGAACTATAGCCATTGAATTCTACCTTGAAAATATACTGTGCGTTATAGGGAAATAATGCACACTCTTGAATGCCCTTCAAGCCAATCAGAAACAAGTATTCAACAATGCCATGGCATATATATATATGCCATTTAGCAGACATTTTTATCCAAAGCGACTTAGTCATGCGTGCATACATTTTACTTGAGTGTTAAAGACACTAAAACAGATTGACACACACACACACACGCATGCACACACATGCACGCATTCATGTATGCACGCATGCACACACAATGAGAGAATAACTGGTGTATAAAGAGTAGACCATACAAACCTTAAGCAAACAAGACTGCAATGGCTAGGCCAGGCCAGTGACTGAGTAGCTGAGACACAAACAGGTCAGAGAATGATCATCGTCAGTGGTAACACTGTATTCCATCATATAGGTCAGTGTTTCCCAATTCCAGTCCTGGAGTACCCCCAACAGTACACATTTGTGTTGTACCCCTGGACAAACACATCTCATTCAACTCATCGAGGGCTTGATGATTAGTTGACAAGTAGAACAAGGTGTGTTTGTCCAGGGCTACAGTAAAAATGTGTACTGTTGTGGGTACTAGAGGACTGGAGTTGGGAAACACTGAATAGGTAGAGAACCCCAGGAGAGAACGCCAGGAGAGAACCCCAGGAGAGAACCCCAGGAGAGAACCCCAGGAGAGAACGCCAGGAGAGAACCCCAGGAGAGAATGCCAGGAGAGGACCCCAGGAGAGAACCCCAGGAGAGAAACCCAGGAGAGAACCCCAGGAGAGAACGCCAGGAGAGAACCCCAGGAGAGAACGCCAGGAGAGAACCCTAGGAGAGAACGCCAGGAGAGAACCCCAGGAGAGAACGCCAGGAGAGAACCCCAGGAGAGAACGCCAGGAGAGAACGCCAGGAGAGAACCCCAGGAGAGAACCCCAGGAGAGAACGCCAGGAGAGAATCCCAGGAGAGAACCCCAGGAGAGAACGCCAGGAGAGAACCCCAGGAGAGAACCCCAGGAGAGAACCTCAGTCCAGTCCACCCATTACAATCAATACAAAGTATTCCAGCATACTGGATAGGCTACGGCAGAGCTGGAGAGAACAACAGTACACCCATAACCGATTACAACCCAATTAGGCCTCATTCAGAAGAAATCATTGAATTTATTACCAAACGAGCTGCATGTGAAATGAAATCATCCCCATTCTCTCACTGTACTTTCCCTTTCCGACGTCTGCTCATAGTCTAGTGGCTCTAGTAAATCGGAAAAAAGCACATCCAGACATTTTCCAGACTCCCGTACCAACTTCTAAATTGTACCCCACTGATTTTTATTATTGGGGTGTATCTAACCGTCCATTATTACAATCAGACTGGATTAAAGACGTGCAGATAAATATCTGGGTAGTGAAAGGTTCCTACGTCACACCAGCCACAGCTCATAAACATTTTCCAACGGTGACGTCCCTCGCCAAGCACAGCCTAGCCACGTACTGCGCATTTCCATGGTGCTTTAATTAGGATGTTGTTTTCAAACTGAATGTGCAACAAGAGATCAAAAACGAACCACAGAAGAGCTTGGGAGGTGTAGAGGGAGGGAAAAGGATCTTAGAGGAAGTAAAGTTTTAATGTGAGGGGCTATAGCTTCACTGTCCTGCTCGGTTCACCTGAGTGAGTGGAAAAACTAATTTAACAGACACTTTTATCCAAAGCGACTTATAGTTATGCGTGCATACATTTTACATATGGGTGGCCGCAGCAGGAATCAAACCCACAACCTTTGGTGTTGCAAGCATCATGCTCAACCAACTGAGCCATGTAACCCTAGCTAGTTGAGTTTGTCCATGGAAAGGTGTATACCATAGAGATCCTATTAAATTATTTCTAAGATGTAATTCTGTGTGGCCAACATTAAAAGTTGAATGACACAACCACCTGAATATGAACCAAATAAAGTTGGACCACACAGAACTGGAAGAGAGGATACTGAGATAACAGACAATTTTCAGTCAAAAATCCTCATCATTAAATTAGTTATACAGTCTGATGAGGAATTTTCCAAACTGCGACTGTATCTGCAATAATATGCATGGGCCTACTGTCTTTTTTCACACTATAAATAAATTAACAATGGGAAAAGGCCATGTGTGCTATTGTGCTCACACTGTTAACAAAAACACCAGTTAATCACATCAAGCAATGTTTAACAACCATGTAAAATACTCTAATAATTTTTCTGGGACGCCGCTTCTGTTTATTTCAATTTTTCCAATCTTACACTGCAAGGACCATAATTATGCGTATAGAAATTGGGCTGACAAGCATTAATGCCACTGTTCTATATTTGCAGCTTATCTACAAGGAAAATAAATCAAGCAGAAAATGTTCAATTTTGCTGTATCCAGGGTAAGAAATGCCAAGGCAACCGTACTGACTTCAGAGGCATGTTGGTGACCTGCTCTCTATTTACTGTGATGTAATGTAAAGTCATGTCATACAGTATATGTGACACGTTTCAGGAAACTAGGTGTATGTTGCGCGTCACTACTTCACAGGAGAGGCATTTGAACGTAAAACTTTTTTAAAAATCAAAATGCAATTTTTGGCAGAAATGCCTTCTGGAACATGTGAACTTTCATGTGCCTTAATAACAAACTTGTATGATATTGGTAAATACGAATACAATTGTTAAATTACGAGCCTAGTTGGTTTAGCCACGGAAAAAGACAGGAACCTTCCCGCTAGCCATGATTGGCTGAGATAATAGATGGGCTGGACATGCCGAGAGATGAGTTCGGATTGGTCTGCCATGTAGCACGCTTCTGTCTATAACATCAGCTGGTCAGTATGTGTAGGTAATCCTTTATAACTCTGTTTTAAAAATATATATCACGTAGTAGAACTGCAAAAGTGTTGCTCTCCACTTTCTGGAGGACCGAGTTTTGAAATCAGTGGAATGCCCTGTGGAATTAGAGTATGATAGCTAAGGAGATATGCAGAGGGAGTCGAAAAGAGAACACACAGAAGGCTGTTGTATAAAACACCTGTCTTCTGATTACATCTTCAAACTAAGGGCAACCATGGCATCCGTGACAGAGAGGGAGAAGCGTCCATCCAAGTATATGGGTAAGATAGTATAGCTAGTTACATTTTCTGATATTATACGTTTCTAATTTTGTCAGAAAGTCGTTTTCATTTCAAGTTAAAGTGTACTGTTAGCTAGCTAGCTAACGTTAGCTGGCTGGCTCGCTAGCTAACGTTATGTGTATGATCTGTGTAGTAATATTATTCCTATCTCAGAGTCATTTGCATTGCTAATTATAGCCTAATGTTAGCTAACTAGCTAACATTGAATCTGGTTGGTTAGCTACCTGCAGATTCATGCAGGGTAGTAATGTTATGAGTTGGAATTATGGTTCCTTGTTTAGCTAGCTAGCTAGCTACATGTCTAAACAAAAGACTCCACTATGCAAGTAACCATTTCACTACACCTTCTGTATCCTGTGCATGTGAAAAGTAAACTTTGATTTTATTGGATATAGTATGTGTTTACCAGAGACGGTAATGTGAAGAACATGACCTGCACAAAAACATGACCTGCACTCAAATTAGGATATAACATTAGGCCAACGAGACAGTGTCCAAGTTCTAAAATTCTCCGGTAGAATGCCCTGCTTTTATTTTGTCACACTAATAATGTTTTATTTTTTTATTTCACCTTTATTTAACCAGGTAAGCCAGTTGAGAACAAATTCTCATTTACAACTGCGACCTGGCCAAGATAAAGCAAAGCAGTGCGATAAAAAACAACAACACAGTTACATATGGGGTAAACAACACATAAAGTCAAAAATAAAACAGAAAATATATATACAGTGTGTGCAAATGTTATGGAGGTAAGGCAATAAATAGGCCATAGTGCAAAATAATTACAATTTAGTATTAACACTGGAATGATAGATGTGCAAGAGATGATGTGCAAATAGTGCAAAGGTGCAAAATAAATAACAATATGGGGATGAGGTAGTTGGGTGGGCTAATTTCAGATGGGCTGTGTACAGTTGCAGTGATCGGTAAGATGCTCTGACAACTGATGCTTAAAGTTAGTGAGGGAGATAAGAGACTCCAGCTTCAGAGATTTTTGCAGTTTGTTCCAGTCATTGGCAGCAGAGAACTGGAAGGAATGGCGGCCAAAAGAGGTGTTGGCTTTGGGGATGACCAGTGAGATATACCTGCTGGAGCGCATACTACGGGTGGGTGTTGCTATGGTGACCAATGAGCTAAGATAAGGCTGGGATTTGCCTAGCAGTGATTTATAGATGGCCTGGAGCCAGTGGGTTTGGCGACGAATATGTAGTGAGGGCCAGCCAACGAGAGCGTACAGGTCACAATGGTGGGTAGTATATGGGGCTTTGGTGACAAAACGGATGGCACTGTGATAGACTACATCCAATTTGCTGAGTAGAGTGTTGGAGGCTATTTTGTAAATGACATCGCTGAAGTCAAGGATCGGTAAGATAGTCAGTTTAACGAGGGCATGTTTGGCAGCATGAGTGAAGGAGGCTTTGTTGTATGGATGTAGCTCAGTTGGTAGAGCATGGTGTTTGCAACGCCAGGGTTGTGGGTTCGATTCCCACGGGGGGCCAGTATGAAAAATAATATATGCACTCACTAACTGTAAGTCGCTCTGGATAAGAGCGTCTGCTAAATGACTAAAATGTAAAATGTAATGTAAATGTTGCGAAATAGGAAGCTGATTCTAGATTTAACTTTGGATTGGAGATGCTTAATGTGAGTCTGGAAGGATAGTTTACAGTCTAACCAGACACCTAGGTATTTGTAGTTGTCCACATACTCTAGGTCAGACCCGCCGAGAGTAGTGATTCTAGTCGGGTGGGCGGGTGCCAGCAGCTTGACTGCCCTTGACTGTATACAAAATGGTGTCATCTGCGTAGAGGTGGATCTGAGAGTCACCAGCAGCAAGAGCGACATCGTTAATATACACAGAGAAAAGAGTCGGCCCGAGAATTGAACCCTGTGGCACCCCCATAGAGACTGCCATAGGTCCAGACAACTGGCCCTCCGATTTGACACATTGAACTCTATCTGAGAAGTAGTTGGTGAACCTGGCGAGGCAGTCATTTGAGAAACAAGTCTATTTAGTCTGCCAATAATAATGCCGTGGTTGACAGAGTCAAAAGCCTTGGCCAGGTCGATGAAGAGGGCTGCACAGTACTGTCTATTATAGATCGTTATAATATCGTTTAGGACCTTGAGCGTGGCTGAGGTGCACCCATGACCAGCTCGGAAACCAGATTGCATAGCGGAGAAGGTACGGTGGGATTCGAAATGGTCGGTGATCTGTTTGTTAACTTGGCTTTCAAAAACCTTCGAAAGGCAGGGCAGGATGGATATAGGTCTGTAACAGTTTGGATCTAGAGTGTCACCCCCTTTGAATAGGGGGATGACCGCGGCAGCTTTCCAATCTCTGGGGATCTCAGACGTTACGAAAGAGAGGTTGAACAGGCTAGTAATAGGGGTTTCTAATTTTAGAAAGAAAGGGTCCAGATTATCTAGCCCAGATGATTAGTAGGGGTCCAGATTTTGCAGCTCTTTCAGAACATCAGCTGTCTGAATTTCTGTGAAAGGGGGGGGGGGGGGGGGGGGGGGGGGGGGGCATGGGCAAGTTGCAGCGGAGGGTGCAGAGCTGGTGGCCGGGGTAGTGGTAGCCAGGTGGAAAGCATGGCCAGCCGTAGCAAAATGCTTGTTGAAATTCTCGATTATTGTAGATTTATCAGTGGTGATGGTGTTTCCTAGCCTCAGTGCAGTGGGCAGTTGGGAGGAGGTGCTCTTATTCTCCATGGACTTTACAGTGTCCCAAAACTTTTTGGAGTTAGTGCTACAGGATGCAAATTTCTGTTTGAAAAAGCTAGCCTTTGCTTTCCTAACTGCTTGTGTATACTGGTTCCTAACTTCCCTGAAAAGTTGCATATCGCGGGAGCTATTCGATGCTAATGCAGTACGCCACAGGATGTTTTTGTGCTGGTCAAGGGCAGTCAAGCTACTTTCTGTAATTGGCTCACCATTAAGTTGTAAATAATGTAAATAAGGATCTTGTTTATTTTCCTGTAATAATAAAGACAAATTAGATAAAGTGAAGACGTTGTCAGCTATATGATATGGTCATTATTTGAACTGGCTAGCCAGCTAACTTAACATTAGCTAGCTAGCTAACAAGCTAGAAATGAACCAAAACATTGTTTAGAAAGTTGCTTTTAGTTGCCTGGTTTGCTATATTGACATATACTAAATTCATTTTTAAACAGGTGGGTTTATTGGTGTTAAAATACACAAGTTATG